ACACACGAACACACACACACACACGAACACACACACAATATTCGGGAACGCTAGAGGCAGTCGCGTAACACAAGACGCATCCAGACTCTCTAAATAGCCCAGAGCACCGGTTGCGTTACATAACGGGGATGCTCCACAAACGTTGTATATATATATATATATATATAGGAATAGGCTATAAATTCACGCGCATTGCATATTAATTTTATGATGCGTCAGAGCAGGGATGATGCTTACTGACGTGATCTGGGTTAATCGTTCAATAACAAAATGAAACTTACAGTATTAGCTATCATTAAAATAAAAAGGCATAGGCTAGTTTATGTTAGATTTGGAAATGGCTTTAAAATGTAAAAAAAAAAAAAATGGCAGGAAATTTGCTATTCAAGTTTCATTAGAAAAACACACATACAAACATTTGCAGATAATTTAACAGCATAAATACATAGCAAATAGCATTATACCTTATTGAACTGAACAATATTGAAGTATTGCGACATTCTATGATAGATATATGAGCTGAAACGCATTTGATAGCTTATCGGAGGTTTGACTTTACAAACGAAATGAACACAAAACGATGTCATTTTTAAAGAGCAAATTACAAAATGCAGGAACACTTGCGCCACTAGTCAGTAGCCTACTTACTGGTTGTTTTAACCACCCCAGCTGTTCCCTAAAACGACCCCAAAATATGACTATGCACAGTCATTTTATTCCGTATTTGAGCAAAATGTAAGACCGTAAAACTGAGCGGCTATCCGAGCGGCACGCACAGCGGGTTGCGATCCTCTGACAAGCCTCTGGTGCCTGTTCCAGTGGGGGCGGAGCGAAGAATAGGAGTAGAAAGTGATCGGTTCGCTCTACTGTCAATCAAACATTTCCACCAATGAACCCAATGAGCTGTTAAAGGGCCGGGTTCATAGGTACGCCTCCCCCGAAGGTTGCACCGCCTAGTGTGTGCGTATTTTATTTTTTTTGTAACCAAAGCTTGGATGTGTAGGACGTCACATGTTGTTTTTCCTCTTCACTCCAGTCACTTAGCGATATGTGTTATTTACTGTTAAACCGCTCCTCGCAGCGAACGCGCACTCCGAGCCGGGTCCACAAGAGAGTCTGACAGGATTATAACTGACTGACAGCACAAGTCAAGCAAAAGTGAGAGTTTTTCTTCACAGCATATATGAGAATGGCGAGTCCGCCGCCGACGGGAGGACAGCTGATTTCAAATATGACCGTGAAGAACAGCAACCACGTTAAGAAATGCGGCTATCTGAGGAAGCAGAAGCACGGACACAAGCGCTTTTTCGTGCTGAGGGAGCCGAGCGAGGGCTGTCGCGCCCGGCTGGAGTATTACGAGAGCGAGAAGAAATGGAAAAACAAGTCGGCTGCTAAACGGGTTATACCTTTGAGCTCGTGCCTGAACATCAACAAGAGAGCCGATGCCAAACACAAACACCTGATCGCCCTTTACACCAAGGACGAGTATTTTGCCGTGGCCGCCGAAAACGAGCAGGAACAGGAGGACTGGTACTCGGTCTTAACGGATTTAATGAACGAGGGGAAAGTGAGCGACGGCTCCGCGAATAATTCGGCGTCATCCCTCGTCGGCTTTGATGAGGCGAGCTACGGCGTGATAACGCCCGTCTCCGCCACTTACACGGAGGTTTGGCAGGTCAATCTGAAATCTAAGGGACTCGGACAGAGCAGGAACTTAACGGGCGTTTACAGGCTGTGTTTAACCAGCCGGACGATCAGCTTCGTGAAACTCAACACGGAGGCGGCGTCGGTGATTTTACAGCTGATGAACATCCGCCGATGCGGACACTCGGACAGCTTCTTCTTCATCGAGGTGGGCCGGTCCGCGTCTATCGGACCCGGCGAGTTGTGGATGCAGGCGGACGACTCGGTGGTGGCGCAAAACATTCACGAGACTATTTTGGAGGCGATGAAAGCCATGAAAGAGATGTCAGAGTTCCGCCCGCGCAGCAAAAGCCAGTCCTCAGGTAGCAACCCTATCTCTGTGCCCACCAGGCGGCACTTTAACAACCTCCCGCCGAGTCAGACCGGGCTGAAGCGGCGCTCGCGCACCGACAGCATGGCAGCGACGTCTCCAGTGGCGAAACTGACGTCCTGTAGGATCCGCACGGCCAGCGAGGGTGACGGCACCACGGGCAGCCCCATCAGCCCAGGCGTGAACAGGACGCATTTGAGCCGATCCAACACAGTGACAGCTCGCCCATGCAGAACATTCGAGTCGTCATCCCTGCAGCATAGCAAATCCATGTGCATGCCTGTCTCTCACTCCCCTCCCTCAGCTCCCAGCCCTGTCAGCCTGTCCTGCAGCAGTAACATAGAAAGCGGCCCTCGCCCCTCCAGCTGCACCGCTTCCATTTCGGGCTCCCCCAGCGATGCTGGCTTTATCTCCTGCGATGAGTGTGGCTCCAGCCCGGGTGATATACGGCACCTTTTAGCAGCAAACCGAAGCAACACACCCGAGTCACTTGCTGACACACCCCCCTCACAGGAGGGCACCGACCTGCACGGATACATGATTATGGAGAGGCCAAACATCTGTGGACGGCGAAGCGTCCGGGCAGCAGCTGAGGAAGGCAAAGGAGATTTGGAGAATGCCTACAGGAAGAGGACACACTCTCTCACCATGCCTTACCAGAAGAGGGTGCCATCACAAGTGTCCTCAGCTTCACTGGATGAATACACGCTCATGAGAGCCACTTATACAATTGGAGGCCATTCGGGGCGCAGCTCTCACACCGCATCCCCAAAGGTCACATATCCTGAGGATTACGGGGACATTGAAATCGGATGGTTACTGAAAAGTTCCAGCAGTAATCTGGGCGACGATGGCTACATGCCAATGACACCAGGTGTGGCTCCGCAAGGGGGGAAGGCTGACAACTACATGCCTATGAGCCCAATGTGCGTTTCTGCTCCGAAGCAGATAATCAACCCCAGGACGCACCCCCTCACTATAGCTAATGGTTACAGAACCAATTCCCCCAGCAGCTGTTCTCTGGATGACAGTGGCTACATAAGGATTCTGTGCGGCTCTAAGTTCTCCATTGACAGCTCAGATGGGAAACTGACGAATGGTGAGTACCTCAACATGTCCCCTGTAGATTCGGTCACGCCACCAGACTACTACCTGAGCCCTGTGGGTATGGAGCAATCTCCCTGTCTCCGACAGCTTCACTCGTTTAACTCTCTGCCCCGCTGTCATAAGCCCCAGCAGGCTCTAAAGGATGCGGACAATGATCAGTATGTTGTCATGAATCCTCAAAATCACAGAATAATAGAGGAGTCAGTAAGCATAGCATCCTCCCCTGCCCCATCACCTATAAGACAAAGCCGTACAGACAGCCTCATCCTCCGGCACAGGATCAGCCGGCCCACCCGCCTCTCCCTGGACATGTTCCGAACATTACCTAGTATGAATGAGCATCCCCTCCCCCCTGAGCCAAAAAGTCCTGGTGAGTACATAAACATAGACTTTGGACATGTTGCTGAAAGTTGCACTCCACCCTCCACTGCTTCCTCCGAGAGCCCAGTCTCATCCCTCGGATCATCCGCTGATCACAGGACATCCCCCCTTTCTGATTACATGAACATTAATGTGAGTTTGCAGTCACCCAAATCTGGAAATGCTGCTCCATCTAATCGTTTGGAGCCACTTCCAGAGCTCACACCCTGCCCCGCCCACCCTGAGGAAGAGGAGGAAGACGAAAGGTACCACCTCACTGCACAGGTGGCACCAGTGGGCCCGGTTGACAAAGCTAAAGACGATTACACAGAGATGACATTCGGCGTGCCTGCTTCCCCTCTGCAGCCTGTGTCGCAGCCCTCAGAAGGTGGGCAGACCATCAACCCATCCTCCTGCATGCAGAGGCTGACCATAGAAGAGACTGTGGGAGTGCCTGCCGTTGAGGCTTTTCTGCTGCGTGGCACCACTCTGGCCTTGGTGGACCCTGACCGAGGTGCCAAGGTGATTCGTGCTGACCCCCAGGGACGCAGGCGGCACAGTTCAGAGACATTCTCCTCAACCACCACTGTAACACCAGTTTTTCCCTCCTTTGCACATGACGCCAGGCGGCACGGTTCGGCCTCTGTGGAGAATGTGTCTGTTTCTGTGAGGAACAGCGAAGGATCGGATGAAGAGTATAACAGTCCCATGTGCAGGGAGACGTCGGCTGGCTTTCAGAATGGACTTAACTACATTGCCTTAAACTTGATGGATGGAGGACTTGACAGCTGTGATTCTCTTGTCCGGTTCAAAGCTACCAGCTGCTGTAAAGAGGGCATCAATGGAATACATGCCAGTCCGTATGCCAGCCTTGGGTTCAAGGAGACGGCAACAACAGTAAAAGGTAAGCTTTCTGAATGAAAAAAAAGAGATAAGTGGTGATGTGCAAGCTCACTACCTTCATTAGTTAATGTTTAGTGTCATTCCTTTCACACTATTGTCAAATGTTATGCTCTGAATTATTCAGAATGATGATTTAGCGGTGTTAATGTCTCAATATGACATGACAGTTTATTTTTTGCTAAAATAACAACAGCACATTACTTGTGCACCAGATGAATGTGGCACATGGCAGATTTCTCTCTAATGTGAGAGAGCTAATTGAGTAACTTGAGTGTCAGAATGATGGAAAAGTCTCTTTAAAAGCTGTGGCGCAGTTTTTTATTCTCAGAGACTGATCGCTTCATCCGTTCCTGCAGAGTGTTTAGGATGAAAACAGGTCAGTTAAAGGTTTTATTCCTCTGCACTGGAGCTGCTTATTTTTTTAAATGTTAATTTTGTTGACAATAGTGTGAGGATGAGGGATCTGTGGGATGCGGTCAGATTTAGAGGATGTAAATGCAAAAGAGAGAGAGCTCATATTCGCATGTCAATAATCCAGCAAAAGAGGAATCATTCCCAATATTTGCATCATACCTTGACTCATTCTCTGAATCAGAATTAGTCATTGTGTCATACTTGAGTGAACAGTAGCTCAGATACAAACAAGTGAGTCAGTTGTTTATCAGTTTTCAGGTAGAGGGTTTTAGGGCTGGAATGCAGAACATGTGCAAAGGTCGTTCTGAGAGGTTAATGTCGACTTGTTTTTCCAACCTGCCATGTTTCTTTTAAGGAATGACCCAGCTTTCGTTTTTCAGCAGGACATGAAAAACAAAGTTGTTTGTGTAGCTCAGAGATAAACGTGTGCTGATAGACACAGATATAGACTCACGTGGACGTTACACACTGAAACAAGTAGTAAGATAGAAGGTGTTTTTCTTGTCAAGCATGACTTTGCATAAGTGGGATTGCATGGAGGATGTAAATAATGTAAAAAACGAGTACTCTACACTTTGCTGAGACCCTTGCACTGACAAAAATCAAGGTGAAAGATTACACTCGAAGGACAGAGCGACTGATGAATGACACTTCACAAAAGAGTCTAGAAGCAGAAGCCTCTTAAAACAGCGCATGCACCATACAAGGCAAACAGACGACATCAGAAGCTCAATTATGATCTCTAGGGTGTGTTTAAGAGGGTTTGTGTTGGCGAAGCAGGTGTTTCTGCAGTTCTCTGTTTACCTCCACAAGTGGACGGAGCAGAAAGTTATAGCCACAGGCCACGGAAGTCCTAGAACAGTGGGAGGAGATCACAAAGAAAACTCGCACAAACATCGACACACACTCGCTAGCACTCAGCCATCCTGCCCTGTGATTGGTCACCGACAACATTCCACCAAAACAAAAGATGAGCCACAGAGACAGAACAGAGCTCTTATTTCCATAGAATTGCCTGATAGTCTTCCTGATTGGAACTTGCACCAGTATGGGATCCATTGAGCATGACAGCATGGATAGGCTGCACTCTGTTTACTACGCCAGCGTCTGTAATGCCACATTCCACTCCTTCCCTCCTCCCATCACTTTTTACACACTGATTTGAATAGTACATTTGTGAATGGGAAGCAGACGCATACTTTGACAAACACAACTACATATTTACATAGTGTGCAGGATGTTTGACTCAGGTTTATGACGACGCTTCATCTTGTTAGGACTGATTGGTTTTTGTCACACTCTGTTGTATTTAGTTCAGTGTTTTTTATGTCTGCGTCCTCACTGAGTCGTTGGATGTTAAAATACTCCAGCAGTGTGTTGTAAATCAGACTGGTCACCCCTGACCTGGCTTTGCATATAGAGGGCTATAGAGATCAGTATTGGGAGCACTGTGGGCAATGAAGCTTTTAGATATCTTTTATTTCCTTAGATTGGATTCTTTTCATTTTTGTGTTTATAATAACACTAGAGAAGAGAATAAACAATGTCTTATTAAAAATGTACCATTAGGACATTCCAAGAACTCATCTCAGAGAGCTGAATGTGTCTGTGAGGGGCTTCCTAAGAAGCTTTCCCCTGAGAATAGTGTGTGTTAGGGGCCAGGCCAGCAGATGGTGGGGGCCAGGGTCGTGCACCTGCCATTCCAAGCCGTGCATAGTGGTTATCAGGCCCATCAGAGCCCTGACAATACTCTAATGATTAGCGACCATCTGCTGCCCCAAACAACACCTCAAAGAGACATACAGGGAGATACAGTCACATAACCAGTAAAAACAGTTGGCACAAGCTTGAAATAAAAGTGAAATCTCTCTTTTGTTGCAGACACACTGAGTCCCGCCCCTTTCTGCTTTGATAGACTTGATTTAATTGAAAAGTACAGCAGTGAACGAGAGGTTGTGTCTATCAATTTGCTTGCTTTTATTTCTAGAGAACAGGCTCAGGCGACCATCCCCCATCAAAACACACACCTATTCCTTTGAATCCTAGTCCATAATCATACTATCTTTCTCTCTTCTTTCTGTTTAATATCTCCTTTGATTATTTTCATATTTGAGGGATTATTTTCATGTCTTGCGTTCTCCATCTATCTCCAATCATCACTCTGAATCTGCCTCCCTATCCTCTCTCTCCCTCTTCATGTCCTCCTTCACCTCTTAGTCCTGTTAATGTTGTTGCTGACTCTGTAAGTACCTGCTATTGTAGCAGATTTTATAGTGTTAAACTCATCCAAGATGTTCTGTTAAATGTTCTCACTGCTCCCTACTTTTAGCAGCACAGATAAAGCGGATTACATGCTGCCACAGATTAGACATTGTTGAGCAGCTTTATTTGGTGACCAAGTAAATGGCATACACCCACACACACTCACGGGATTATTCATCAATTTTTCATCATTTTTGTGTATGCATGTAAACTATATAACATTTAACATAACACTTTATGTTAGCATCCTGTACATTTAAAATCCCCTTTATATGTGTGTGTTTAGCATGTGGCAATGAGTGGGATGTGGCTGGAATAGATCATCTGAAATCTGCATAGGATGCTCTTTAAGAGCATGTGCCGTGTGTGGGAATAATTGCATGGCATGTGGCCTGATTCTGAATGAATGCTCCTTTTCTCCCCTGCTGAGCTAAGTGATCTGAGTGTGTGTGTGGCAGGGGGAGCAGAATATATAGTGATGCTTTACTGTCATCAAATGAATTTAAATGGTTTTATCTTTGCAAGCTTTTTGGGTTTGTTTAAAAGGGAACAAGTGTGGGATCTGCTGAGCTCACACACCCTTATGCACACACTTTCTTATTCATGGACTGGTGTCTATTTCCATTCGACCGCTGAGCTCTGTTGGCTTAGTTGGCTGTAGTGTTATGAGATTAGGCTGTGACATTTACACATGAAGATCATCACACCATGCATACAGTACAACCTTTTGCCTAGATATCTCTCTGCCACTCTTCCCATAGCTGATGATGTCCAGACTGTTTCTGTCACTGTAAAGTTACAGATTGCAATTTGATATTGATATTTAAATTGTAACACTAGGTTTTTTTGAAGCTATGGCCTAGCAGTTGGTGCTCATAGCTCCTATCCGTTGAGCTAGTTTGGGCAATGTGGATTTCCTGAGGATTTTTGTCTCTTCTTTCTCCATATAGGGAACTATAAAGTGGCAAAAGGGCTAAAATAAAAACGAAAACAAATCAAAACTCGTACAGAAGTCCACATACTTTGTAATGTTTTGTAACAGAGACAATTTGAGAGAGTCAATCCCTTCAATTTGAATTGTATGTGTCCATGGAAGTCACTTCTGCTACCTCAAACTCTCACTGAAAATGAATGACTTCCAGTTGCTTTGTTGCTACAAATCGCTGACAGTGTGAACATTCCTAATGGGAGTAAAACTGGAAGATCCTACTGAGTGAAGATGAACAGAGACATTATTTCTACCCCACGGGTTAAAACTGATACCCCCCATCTATGATATATGAGACTGGCATAGATAAATAAATTAGTAACGCTACCACATGTTTACAGTACAGTCAGTCACTCAACTGCTTTTCTCACTACAGTAAATACGTCTTGTGTGTGAGAACAGTTGTGTGTTTTATGTGTGGGAGAATGGCAGACTGTTCCCGGCCTGGCTGCAGGTGGCTAAATTTAACCTGTGTGAAATAAAAAAAAATGAGTTGCAGGACAAATGTGTGTGTAGAGAGGGGATAGTTTTTGGAGATTGGGGCAGCAGGTTCACAGGTTGTTGACTTGAACCAGTAGGGTCCGGATTACAGCTGCTTTAAATACCTGCGCTGATTTCTCACACAGACACGGGAAAGTTTCTATGTCGTAAATGTGTTTAGGAAGCGATATGTTGCATTCAGCTATGTAGATCTGAAGACTGAGTCTGTTTTTTTTTAGTTTGAGAGATCACTCTTGAGAGACAAAACAAGAGGGAGAGAGATGGGGAGGGAATTTGATGTCAGAGGGTCCAACAAGACCTCCTACTTATGGTCTCCATCTGCTCTTACTGATATTTGAATTTGAGCATACTTACATTTAGCTTTAATATTGATTGATATATATTTACTCATTGAACTGTTAGAAGCAGAATTTCCTTCAGAATTCTGTTTTGGTGTTATTTAAAATTGTTAAATTATAGTTATGTAATGTTCTGATTTTGATACTGAATTAGATTTATCTTAAATAAACAGTGTTTTTGCTTAATTTAAAGCCAAACTCGCATCAGTCATGTCAGTTAATTATTTTTTTTGATCACAATAATACAAATTTATAGTGATCAAAAAAAAAAAAAAAAAAAAAA